TTTATAGTAGAATATCATTAAATAAATTTAGAAGGAATTGTGGAGCTAGAAAGCCACCATTTGGCAAATAATATAGTAATAATTCAGTCAAAATTATCAATGGATGTTTAGTGGGTGAAAGTTTGAAATATATATATGGTCTGAAAGGTCCCACAAGTGGAAGATACTACTTCAGTCAAATAATCAAAGTTAATATCACCAGTAATGAAGCAGATGGGTATCATTTGCCTCTTGATATGATCTGCTGAGAGGGACACAACATCACTCCTGTGATATTCCTGCCATACTGCATAACCTTCATCTAACCATGAGAAAATACCAGATGAACCCAAATTGAGGGCCCCTTTATAAAATACAGTTGGCTCTTCCTATCCACAGGTTCTGCATCCTTGGCTTCAACCAACCATGAATCGAAAATATTTGGAGAAAAAAAAAATTCCAGGAAAATGTTACGTGGCTGCTGACGTGTACTAAGTCGTTAGGCCTACAACAGTTGCATCTGTACTGAATGAGTACAGATCTTTTCTCGTCATCATTTCCCAAACAATACAGTATAATAACTATTTACATTTTCTTTATTTTAGGTATTGTAAGTAACCTAGAGATGATTTAAAGCATATGGGAGGGTTGTGTAGGTTATACACAAATACTAAGCATTTTATATAAGGGACTTGAGCATCGTTGGATTTGGTATCCGTGGGGGTTCCTTGAGCAAATCCCCTGAGGATGCCAAGAGAGGACTGTAACTGGCTTGTACTTTTCAAAAACATCAAAGTTATGAAAGACAAAGACAGACTAAGGAACCATTCTAGATTAAAGGAGATTTAGGAAACGTGACAACTGAATGCAATGAGAAATCCTGAATTGTAATCTGGGCCAGAGTTATTATTCTTTTTTGCAATAAAAGATATTATTGGGACAATAGGCTAAACATGACTAAGGTCTGTTGATTAGATACTCAATAATTCACATTGTAGTATTTAGGGTTAAAGTGGCATTATGTCTATAATTTACTTTCTTATGATTCAGAAGACAATTGCATACATATAATTCTACATATGAGAGAAATGGTAGGGTATATGTTAAAAACTGGGGAGTAGAGATGAAGGGCAAAGGGGAGTTTTTGTACTGTTCTTGCAGCTTTTCTGCAAGTCTGAAACTATTTTTTAAAAAATTGACAAAACAAAAACAATAAAAGAAAAAAACAGAAAACAATAAAAAAAGAAACAGAAAAACAAAGATCACCTGTAATTCCACTAAGTCTGTTTAAGTACACTTTTCTCATTTTTTTCCTCCTTTTGTAACCGGCCCCCCTACACTGAACAAATTTAAATGACTCTTATTAAGACTTTGAAATTCTGCTCTGATTAATATTTGTCTAATTTCTTACTTTTTTTAAATGACACATTGCTATCTGCTATCCAGCCATTGTTAATATAATGAGAATGGTTTGTGTGACATTGATGTAAGCTGGCAGCCAAGGAGAGAGGACTGGGATGCGCATGCGTGAACAATGACGACTTCACTGCACTAGTGAGTAGGGCACTGGACTAGTGAGTGAGCACCGAGTGAGCACATGCACTGTGTGGCCGTCGCATTCAAAATGACTAGTGAGTAGAGCAATGAATCTGCATCAAATTTTGCATTAAGCTTGAACATTCCTCTGCAGAAAGTATTTGGATGATTCAGAAGGCTTTCGGGGATGATGCAGTGAGGGCAGCGCAAACGCTTCAAAGACGGTGGAGAAGCTGTTGAAAGTGACCCATGTTCCGGAAGGCCTGCAACAAGCAGAGCACCTGAGAATGCTGAACGTGTACGAGCTGCAATCAATAAAGATCAGCGACTCTTATGCGAGGATTAGAAGCTGATCTGGGGATTCCAAAAACTACTGTGCCCAAGATTCTGATGCAGGATCTTGTATATTCTTCAATAAATGTCTCCATTTTTCATATTACGTGGCTGGATATTTTCTGGACAGACCTCATATGTCTATTGAGAGTAAGAGTTTTGAGAAGGAGAGAGAGAAAGTGATAAACAAAATAGAGAGCAAAAACTAAAGAGATCTTCTTTTTCTAATGAAAACTGATGTACTCTTAGTGTACTTTTCAAGTTCTTAGAGAAAAGAGAACTCATATAAGACAGCTTGAGTTTCCTCACATTATTTTGTCATTGTTTACACAGCATATACATTGCCATTTCCAGTTTTACTTCACTTTTGGTAATTAATCTGGTCCCTTAAACATAAATGTAAAACTCTTACGATTCTACGATAGTGCAAAGTCTTGGCATAAATGATGCTGCAAGGTGGCAGTTCTGGAGGAAGACCCATTGCTGTGTTTTGGCAAGTGCCTTAACAATGAGGTCTTCAGCTTTAGCTGCCTGGCCACGGCCCAAAGAAATCATGGTCACATGATTCGTTGTTCCTTTTAGCTCTTTTGCCAATCTCAGGAGAATATTGGTGAGGTCAATCCCTGTATAACAAAGTGGAGAGGTACATAAAACTGTAAGCTCATTTAATTCTCGCTTAAAAAACACAAGCAGCATTTATTGAGTGGTGGTGGGGGAAGGTGTAGCCATAGTGCAGAGACTACAGGCTTTGAAATTAGAGTCCAGAGTTCAAATTTTTACGCTACCACTTACTAGTTGGGTGATCTATGTTTCCTAACACGCCAGGATGATAATATCTAAGGACAGCAGCACCTGCTGGTTGTCCACTCCTGCATCTACTTATCCCTCTGTAGTCGTCCTCCAATGTCATTTGAGATGGTCTTGTACCTAGCTAACATACTACATTTTTAGCCTTTATTGCAGCTAGCTATGGACATCTAAGTTTTGTGATTAGGTTTAGGCAGTAAAAGTTTGTTGCAAAAGTGTTGTGTAATGTAACACTTTGGATACCTACTTAAAGAGAAGAGGTGTGCCTTTCTTCCTTGCTTCCATTCTATTGTTTAGAATCTGGACGAGATGGCTAGAGCCTTAGCCACCATCTTGGGTTAAGTGTTCCAGAAATGAGCAGTACCTATTATTAGTGGGTCTGGCATATAGCCAGGTGCTTTATACAGAAATGATCCAGGTGAGAAAGCCTTCAGGTGGAGGCACTCTGGACAAGGTTTTGCGTAACAGATCAAAGTTTGGAAATGGTGAATTCTAAAGACACATTTGATTTGGAGACTATGAAGGACAGAAGGTAAATAAAGAAAATATTTTGCTTAGGAGAAAACATTTTACTTGGGGTCTATAGAGCAAAGATTAAAAAAAGAAAAAAAAAGCATTTGGAGTTTTGAGGAATAGAAGGGCGGGATCAGCAGGGCCAGTTTCTGATAGTTTATTTTATAAGATATATTTCTGCAGAAGTCAATGTTAATTAAAATAGTTAATAAATGTAAGGGCAATCACAACTCTCAGATCAATAATATGTGTTTGAAAGGTATTTTCTGTGCAGGAAATTAGCACTGAATGATATATTTTTCCATACTTGTGAATGGGTTTTATTCCTCTTTATTCTTTTATATTTTAGAAAAATGTATTCTTAAAATATTCTTAAAGTTTAAGTTTTAATTGTTCTCTTTCCCAAAATATTTAAATTAGAATAGGAAAATATTTAAAACACCTGACTTCTCCACATTTTGGCTGATAGCGTATCATCATCTTAACTATTCACAAATATCTTACCATGAGAGTGAATAAGTACCAGCGGAGTTCTGGCATTGGATTGTTTATATGATTCTTTCAAATTAACTTCAGTTATTTGAAGATATTCGTTTCCCATTTTTTCAGTGATAAAGTTTCTTACTGAATTCTTTAAACGTTCTGGTCTAAGGATTTTTACCTAAAAAAATATGGAAGATAAAGTAAATATAAAAACCACCTAGGGGAATATTCCCTATGGTAAAATAAACAAAAATAAGAAATATTCATTTTTTAGCTTTTCAGCCAGAGTTTTCTAGTGTTCCTCCTGCTGGGAAAGTTTCATGGGAGAGAGTCTATGCATGATGGGGAAACTGTCACTATGCTCTTAGCCCTCATGGGACCCTTCCTAGATACCAGGACCACATTGTGCCTTTATCTCTTTCATGCTCTGAGTGAGGTCTCACTTTGGATGTAAAGATCCAAGTCATACTCCCTGATTCTGCAAAAGGAAACCTGTCCCCTGGGTTTCTTCCTGCTCTGCTATACATGTCCAGAGCAAGAAAACCCCATGGGTGCTGGAGAAATGAAAATCCAGGATAACACAACTGGAAGAGTGCTAATTTTCCCATTAATAAAATGGAGACAAACAGCATAATCTTTGTATGTTTAAACAAACAGAATGCAAATCTGAAAAGAACTCTAGATGGACTAAAAGATTTTGGAAACAGTATACGTGTAATTAGAGTTCAGGGTCTATTGGCGATCATTGCAAATTTCAGAATAAAGACCTTTCCCACAAAAACTGTTTGATACAAATCACATATATGCTATTTCTTTACATAAATCTTTCAATTTTCAGATTTTGGCTCAAAAATTAAGAAACCCAAACCAAACGTGTGTATGAATGTTCATAGCAGCATTATTCACAATAGCCAGAAGAAAATAACCTTTGTTGTCTATCAATGGATAAATGGATAAGCAGAACATGATATATACATACAATGGAATATTACTTGGCCTCAAGTAGGAAATTCTGAGACATGCCAAAACATGGATGAATTTTGAAAACATTATACTAACTGAAATAAACCAGACACGAAAAGACAAATATTACATGATTGCAGACAAAAAGTAGAATGGTGGTTGCCAGCAACTGCCTGGAGGAGGGAATAGGGAGTTATTATTTAACAGGTATAGAATTTCTGTTTAAAATGACAACAAAGTTCTGGAAATGGATGAGGTGATGGTTGCACAACATTGTGAGTATATCTTGTGCCACCGAATTTCACACTTAACACATTGACTGCCACACTAGAAAAAAAAAATTTTCCATGGAGCCATGGTGTTTTATTATAAAAATAGAATAAAAACTTCGAAAACAAAATGATCCTTTCTAAATAACGAAAAATTTGTTATTTTTTATTGTTTTCCGTGCATGAGTTATATGCAACTTGAAAAATAGTTCACACGGCTCCCAAGGTGAAGAGATGTGAGTTACATATGCTTCATGAGGCCCCGGGCTCAAAACCAGCATGAGTTAAATACAACTCAAAGGGCAGTTAATGTGTTAAAAAAAGGGTTAAAAGGGATTATTATGAGAATTAAATGAAATAATGTACGTATATTCTATTATTATAAAAAATATAAAACAATTCACTTTAAGATATAAGTATACACTGAATTAAAAAAAAATAGTGAATGGTATTCATTTTAGTTAAAGCCTTGGAAGTTGCTATGTTCTCAATGTTGGTGTCCCCGCCAAATTCATATGCTGGAACCTAATCTCCAACGTGATAGTATACAGAGGTGGAGCCTTAGGAGAGGATTAGGTCATGAGGGCTCTACCTTCATGAATGGGACTAGTGCCTTTAAAAGGCTTGAGGGAGCCTGTTTTTCAGCGTGAGGACACGGCAAGAAGAAGCCATCCATGAGGCAAGCCCTCACCAGACCCCGAATCTGCTGGTGCTTTGATATTGTACTTCCCAACCTCCAGAACTGTGAGCAATACATTTCTGTTGTTTATAAATTGCCCAATCTAAAGTATTTTGTTATAGCAGCCCAAATGGACTAAGACAGAAATCCTCTAAAAAAGATCTTCATAGGTTCAAATCCATATGTTTAGTGATAAATTGCACTTAAAAAGTTGAAGAAAATAAAACTGCAGGCCAATAAAAAGCATGTTTATAAGCCACATGCAGTCTTTTTTTTTTTCTTGTAGTCTCCATCTAGAGTGAATTTTAAAGTGTTGCAAAAATAAAATTTAGGGCAAAAATCAAAAGAAGGATTACGGGCTGTCTAGGCTGTCATTTTCAGGAAGTTAGTGGGAATGAGATGAAGGATTTTCCACTCACTAAACTAGAAGTTTAAAAGATTTTTCAAAGCAATAGGGAAGGATTTAGGATGATCTACTTGGGAAAGTGTAATATATTATGACTGGCAAGAACATAGATGTTAGGGCCAAACTGTCTGAGATTCAATCCTGGATCTATTAGGCAATTTATAAGCATTGGTTTCCTAATCTGTAAACTAAGGGAAATAAATATGCCTACCCTCCAAGACTATTATAAGGATTAAGCGGAATAATGTATGTAAAGTGCTTAACACATACTAAACTTTTTTTTTTTTTTTTGAGACAGAGCCTCACTCTGTCACCTGGGCTAGAGTGCCATGGCAAGAGCCTAGCTCACAGCAATCTCAAACTCCTGGGCTTGAGCTACCCTCCTGCCTCAGCCTCCTGAGTAGCTAGGACTATAGGTGCACACTGCTACACCCAGCCAATTTTTAAAGACGGGTCTCACTCTTGCTCAGGCTGGTCTCGAACTTCTGAGCTCAAGTGATCCTCCAGCCTCGGCCTCCCAGAGTGCTAGGATGACAGGTGTGAGCCACCCTGCCCGGCCCATACTAAACTTTTGATGTCTTAGGGGGCTCATAAATGACACCCCTGCACATCTCTAACCCACCAACCCCACCACCAGCTAGATTCTGAAATAATTGAGAAATAGAGGAGTCAGGTAAAATATCACCTTTATTAGTAATAAAGGCCATGTTGATGGATATAGATTAAGTGTGAGATAATACTATGTTTCCTGATAATGAACCTAGAATTAGACAGACTTACCTATTACAAGCAGTGCTGCTTAGCCATTGGTTTCCCCCTAAAGGACCAGGGTCTGTTCCTGTACAATTACGGCATGGAGAAGCAGAGCTTAAAGTATTCTCTTTGCAGGAGACAAATCCCAAAAGGGACAGAGAAGAAAGGGCTGAGCCATGAACTCTCAGTTCACCTCTCAAATTTATCAATCCTGTAAGTCCTCCTCCTCTCTAGGGAGGAGTGAATGAGGGGGCAGAGAGATGCTGGGAATGTTATTCTAATTGGACTCTTTCCACATGAAAGAAACATTAAGCGTGGAGTGCAAGTGCTTTCCTCTAACATTACCATTTACGAAATGTTAGCTTTTAAAAATCAATAGATTTTGCTCATAAAAATTTAATTTTGAAAGGTTTAAGTTACTAATAGTGCTCAAAACATTTATAATATTAATATTTTATCATAGCACATCTTACCAAAATAAGTCTTTGAAATGGAGTGAGTTTCTCCCAAGGAAAATTTATAGGATTACGCATTTCTTCATTTTCATTCAAAAGTTCAGCTGGATATCATTTAGAGAAAGAAACTGAGATTAACAATCAAGTGCTTTGCATCACCAAAAGATATAATGAAAATTTGTTATAAAACTGTTAAGTTTTTAAAAACTTGCTGACTTTTAAAGTGAGCTTGATCTCCATAGGATTTGAGGCATCGCTACCTATCCTTAATACCGCAAAAGAGGTAGACAGTAAGGTAGATTTAAGTTTCAACTTGGTCCCACTGAAGTGGCTTATGAATAGTGATATAACCAGATGGGGACAGGGAAAGGAATACCAGGAGAAGCAAAGGGCATAGCCAACATTTTATAACCGCTCCAGCACATGTGGTATTTTTCTGATGAACATAAACTAGTAATAACTCTAGAGGTTAGAGATTTCTATTCAAAACCTATCTGTAACAGACATAGGAAATGAGAATCGAATGAAAATGCAACAAGATTATGAAATTTTGAAAAATTAAATATCGTATCTATACGTTTTTTAATACTGACCCCTCTACCACTGCAGCAGAGTCCTACCGGATCACCTCTTGCAAGGTTGGAATGCTTTTCAGTTTGTTTCCAACTATCCCAGATGCAGTTATCATTTCTGCCTACTTTTTGTTTCTATGGTATTTTCCTAATGTCTAACTTTAAATACAACTTAGATTATAGAAATAGTTTTTCTGAATGTACCTAATATTGGTATGTTGATCTTAAAAAAAGCCCGTGATACACGGACATCTAGTAACATAGGGATAAATTTGGGGTTATTTACAAAATAAAAAGATCTTCACTTTACAAAAAGGGTCAGTAAAGAGTTCTTTAAAATAAAAATTACTGACTTGTATCTTATAGTCTAATAAATTATGGGTTCCAAATAGATTAGTGACAAAGGCAACAAAATAAAACAATGACTCGGAGAGAAAACTCTAAGAGAGGAGGCGACCTTCTTAATCAGAACTGGAAATCAAGAAAGTAGAAAAGAAAAAAATAGACACAATTGGCTAGACAAGCATTTAAACGTTTGTAGAGTACAGATACTATAAACAAATCCAATAGATAATGAACATATTTGGAAAAATTATTTGAATGAAGAGGTTAAAATACATAATAAGACAAAAAGTTAATTATATATAACGCTAATAGAATTATTTCAAATGGTCAAAAAGGAGATAAACAATATAGTAAAAAAAATGGGGTAAAGTACATAAACAGGAAATCTAAATGATCAACAAACATCAGAAAAGATACTTAAACTTGCTAATAGGGAAATTAAAATTAAAGTATTTTAAAATTTTCAGATGGGCAAAAGTTAAAATCAATACTCCTGTTGGAAAAGGGGCATTCATATTGCTAGTGGAAACATAAATTATCACAGATTTTTAAAGAAAGCAACCTAGCAGCAACTGTTAACATAAAAATGATTTACTTTTGACTCAGCAATTCCACTTCTGGTTATTTATACTATAGAAATAAAAACAAAGGAAATATGTGTAAGGATGTCTATGTTATTACATAACATAATTGTATATTATGGCAAAAATCTGGAAGCAAAGTGGAAAAAATGTAGAAGGAAACAAATTTAGGTTGTATCCTGAGTGGCGATGTTATGGGTGAAAGTGGCAGGGAAGAGCAGGGAGAAAAGTTCAAAATGAAAAAAGAAAAGGGAACATATGTGCTAAAAATAGCACATCATTTAACTTTAAAGTAAGATCCATTTCCCATATAATTTTTAAAACACCTATATGTTAAAATGAGGGATATATGTAGGTTTGTTCAGATTCAAAGTTCAAAACTAGTGTGTTGCAATGAAACTAGTGATGTATATTTAATCACTCCGAAATTCTGATTATTTATCAGGGTTTCTCATCAACAATAATGAAGTTCATAATAATCATTTCATAAGATTGTTATAAAGATTACATTTAGTAACGTGCATGCTTAGAACATAGTTATGTTTGTCCCTTCCATTTTTTCACAATATAAGATATTAAACTACACTTACAAATTAAAAATCTACACACACATGTACTTAAGTTACATTAAAACATTGAATGCTTTCTTACTTTGCTCTGGTGATTTTGTACTTTCCTCCAACGAAGCATGTTCTGAACAGAAAGCTGTGCTGATCAAAGAATAAACATTCTTACTGTTCTTGAAAGCATCCCATTGTGATATATTTGATAAAAGGGATTTGCATAAAAGTGAAAATGGTTTCAGTTGACTGCTGACGTATTGGCACTGCCTCCACCTGGAATCTGACAGCCACTGAAGATGTTGGTTTTTATGTATTGCAAACATGCCTAATAGGAAAGGAAAAATGATCGCATTAGAAGAGATAAAACCTTTACCTTTTAGTTACTCATTACAAGGTAGATAGTTAACAAATATTTGTTATTGAGGAAAAAGCTACTTTATATAAAAACCCATTACATAAAAGGTAATTCTTTTTATCGTGGTAAAAACACATTAACATAAAATCTATCATCTTAACCATTTTCAAGTGTATGGTTCAGTAGTGTTAAGTATATTCATATTGTTGTGAAACAGATCTCCAGAACTTTTTCTGTAAATCTCAAACTCTGTACCCATTACAAGTCCCCTATTGCCCCTCCTCCCAGATCCTGATAACCATCATTCTACTTTCTTTTTCTAGAAATTTGACTTCTTTAGTTACCTCATGTATAATAAGTGGAATCATATAGTATTTGCCTTTTTGTGGTTGGCTTATTTCACTTAGTATAATGTCTTCAAGGTTTATCCATTTTGTAGCATGTAGCAAGATTTCCTTCCTTTTTAAGACAGAAGAACATTCCATTGTATGTTTATGGCACATTTTGTTTATCCATTCATTCACTGGTGGGCATTTGGGTTGCTTCCACATGTTGGCTATTGTAAATGGTGCTGCTATGAATGTGCATGTACAAATAGTTTTTTCAGACTCTGCTTTAAATTATTTTGGATATATACCCAGTGCGGGATTGCTGGATCATACGGTAGCTATATTTTGAATTTTTTGAGGAAACTTCATACTGTTTTCCATAGTGGTTGCACCATTTTATAATCCCACCTTTGAGATCTTTTAGTATTTTATAAGGAGATAAGTTTTAATGAATTTTTAGTAAATCCAGAGTAATTACTTTTACTTACTATTAAGTCTAGCCTGGGATAATGCACTTTTAATATTTATCAATATGCCAGAATATAAAAAGATGTTCCATTCTTCTTCTGGTAGGGATCCAATGTCATCTTGCATTAGATTTTCATTAGCATTATTTTGCATGATTGCAGTGCAAAGTCGAAAAGAGAAGCAAAGCTTATCTTGATTAAATAGAGCTGAAGAAACCACCTATAGGGAAAATATAACTGCTAGACTAACTCAGCTAGATTAAATAAGTATGCAAAATTCACATCAAAAAATATCTCACCTTAAAAATATTTCTTGTCAACACATCTATTGCATTTTTAATATGTCCGTCTAAGGGATCGTTCTCACTTTCCAAGTTAGGTTCTTTTGAAATATTTGTAATCTTATGAACTTTTTTCAGAGACATTTTCTCCCTTTTTGAGTTATGTTCTTGTTCTTTGCTTTTGAAAACTACTGAGGAAACAAAAACTTGACGAAACCAGTCCAGGGAGAACTGGTACATGCAGTTGATTTGTGTCAGATCAGCAACTATGAAGTAGAGTAGGGCACCGCGGGTTGCAATGGGGAGATAGTTTTTACGTGTTGCTTGGATTTTACTTTCAGCTTCTTTTGTTGCTTTGATGCGCTTTGAAATTTCATTTGATGTCATTTTAGATTTTCTTAAGGTATCTATAATTTCCTCATCATCCAATAAAAATCCTAAAGACAAACAAAAAGTGAATTTTAATAAAAACTGTTGTAATATTAAATGGCTATTTCCTTATTCTGTACTCTTTATGTAAGACTTTTTACTGTTGGCTTTTTGTTGGTTTTATGTTGGAGATTGGCTCTTAAATGAAGTTAGATCATATTTCAAATATAATTTTTTTATTTCAGCATATTATGGTGATAAATTTGATTAATTAGCACACATACCCTACTTCCCACTTTCTCATCTCTTCTTTATATTACTTTAGTGTTTGTAGATTCTATTTTTATTACAGGCATATAATAAGTAACCATTCTATTATAAGGAATGCATTTCTACTGCGACTCACTATACACATAGAACATTAAAATAAAATTTCCAGGCTGGGTGGTGGTGGCTTGCCCCTGTAATACTAGCACTCTGGGAGGCCAAGGTGGGAGGATCACTTGGTTCAGGAGTTTGAGACCAGCCTGAGCAAGAATGAGACCCTGTTTCTACAAAAAATAGAAAAAAATAAGTTGGGCGTGGTGGCATGAGACTGTAGTCCCAGCTCCTTGGGAGGCTGAGGCAAGAGAATTGCTTGAGATGAGGAGTCTGAGGTTGCTGTGAGCTATCATGACACCACTGCATTCTAGTCAGGGTGACAGAGTGAGACTCTGTCTCAAGAAAAAAAATTCCGGAAAATAACAATTATGTCATTATTTCATATGATGTATTCTGATGTTTTGTATTCTATTCTATTTTATTAAACAAATAAAGCTGATCATGACCAATGAAATTCATTTCTCAATCCACTAATAGATTGCTACTCACCTTTTAAAAAACCATTTCTCTAGAAAACATAGATAATAATTCTACCCGCTTCAAATATTTAAGACAGCTCTCAGATTTCCATTATAAACCCTTCTATTTTATGGGATAAACATTCTCATTTTCCTCAACTGCCTTTTTTTATGATATGATTTTTAGACTCCTCACCATCTTTGATTCTTGCCTATGAACTCACTTTAGTTTGAAAAGAGCCTTCTTAAAATACGGAATCCAGAAGTAAACACAGTATTTCAGGTTGATATGACCATTGCAGGGAATAATGAAACCATTATCTTCTACAATCTGGATACCATATTTGTATTGATGCAGATGAAGCTTTTTAAGTAATGTCTGGACCTGGGTCGTGGGTTCACAGTACTCGCCCCACCGCATCACTTCCCACAGGGACTGAGGAGTCACACCAAGGATAAAATATTTACAAAGAGGCAATAAAAATGGCCAGTTTTACTAAAAATTACAAAGGGGGAGGAAAAATTATATATAGAATCAAGAAGTCTTTTTATTTAGTTAGTTGTCAAGAAAAATTTTTATTAAAACCACTATTAGTAAAAGGTCACAGTCTTTTAAAAATATCCCAGACTCTAATACAGGGAACAAGTGATAGGAAACACACACCAAAGGCATCGTAAAAGCATATAGTGCTTTGATGTGTGTTGTCTTAAACAACTTATCACTTGTCTCATTAAATCCATTTTTTGTCCAATTTAGGCAAAGGTTATAGCAAAATGTGACATTTGTTACATAAGTGGTTTATAAAGTGGGAGTGGCTGTGCTTCTGAATCTTGTTAGACCAATTGTACAACCTTCTATGTATATTGTATGTACCTGGATGTTTTGCTCCCTAGGAGGTTACCAGCTTGTGGCTCCAATTTTGTAAGAGAAACAGATATAGAAAACTTGTCCATGTAACTAGTCTTGTCATTAACAGAACCATGGTTTATTCATGTGTTATAAAGAAACATCTTATTAGGTATAATTAACACAGAAAAGGAATAAAGTCATATTGTTCCAGGCATAGTAAACAAATATACTTCAAAGTAAAGATTTGCCTGTATTTCTAAGATATAATTAATTTTGAGCTCTTTTTTTTTTTTTTTTTTTTGCAAATATGGTGGCAAAAATCAAGTTATAGACTCCCTTTCTTTTAAAAAATTCTCCACTTAACACACATCTCTTTTTGGATTTGGGTCAAGACAATGGCACACTAAGGCAGCAACATGCTGGAAGATACCTGAGAGGAAAGGCTCGCCTTCCCAACTACCTTCCCTACATAAAACATTTTTTTGTTTGAGGTTTTAATGACAAAATGTGAAGTCTTATAAGATCTTAAAATAATCATTTCCCAAAACTAAGATGGTTGTATGCTGTAAAAACATTAGTTCTTTATCAAGGTTAAGAACATGCTCAACAAGTCAGTGCTTCTGCACATCTCAGCAGATCTTAGAGTGGCAATACTGGAACTCCTCATCATAGCCATTCTTGTTTTGGGCACAAGGCTCATAGCAAAGGGCTTTTGGTTGCAGCACTTCATCAGGGAAGGGATGTCAGTGTTAAGGTAAACACCTAACAGTGGAGAACCATATCCTTTCAGTGGGAGGGTTTATAACCATAACATGGGGAAAGCTTAAATTCATCACTGTACTTTAACTGGCAGATTGTTCTGCTCCCAGGAAGTCTAAGACAGCACTGTAAACGTGGTTCCAGTTCTGGATGATTTTAAGGAATGGTCCTCCCCTAGGTGGTTTGGCCTCCTTGGGGTTCCTGCGAGTGACGGCTGGAGGAGGAGAAAGAGGGTGTGTGGACCAAGGCTGTGGAAGGGGGACCCACTGCATCCCTGCCCCCAAAGTACCAGTGCTAACACATGGTTGGTGTCATCCCAGGTATCTCTCCCTACACACGTGCAGACAGAATGGTAGATGGATGGATTGATCAATAGATAGATTTTTTTAAAATGAGAAATGGATCTTACTATAAATACTATGTTTTAAGTAACTAGTAAATTTACCTTTACTAGAATTGAGAAAAACAACCAATAGAATTGCTGAATCTGATAGAATTGCTGAGATAAACATTTCTTGATGACAACAGATATTATTTCCTAAAACATTATTCTAAAGTTATGAGAAAAGATTATGAAAGCAATTAAAATATTGAATCATTATTTTTAAAAATGAAGATATGCATTTCAATTTTAAATACCATGGATTGACTTCTCTGCATGAAATATGAGGTGACTGCACTCAGATTTCCTTCCACTTTCTGATTTTGATTGCTTATTTGGTGAGATTTCATCACCAAATAGTATTTATTTGTTTTATTTTTAATTCTTGGGTTCTTTCATGTTTGAAAATGGTCAAAATTGCTTCTGGGGAAAGGCTAATCCACGCCCTATCAAAACTTTCTGTTTCTTCCCTTTTCACAAATTATATTCTTATTTATTACTATTGGTAAATTTTTGCCTTTTTTTTTTTAAAAAACCTAGTTTTAAATTCATTTTACTAAAGTATCTGGTAACATTGGGCTTGCATCCCAGACCATGGGTGGACCTTTAGATTAGACAACTAATATTTAATCAGTAGTGAACATTATAATTGTGTAGAGAGCTTAAAAAATAGATACAAGCCAGGGCCCCATTTGTAGAAGTTCAGATTCAATAAGTCTGTGGTGTTACCCATTGGGTATTTTTTAAAAAGAAAAAAAGAAAGAAAATCAATAAACTCCACAAGTGATTTCTATACATACCTTTAATTGAGAATCAAAGTGTTTGAGAAACTTTAAAGTCCTGATGAGTCACAAGTTAAAACAGAAAGGCAGTCCATTGTTAGATAAGCTGTATTTTATCATGGTTGAGTTAGGGGCATACATTAGTGTGATCCAGGAATTTAAGTTTAGTTCCTGTAAAGACTATGGTTTCTTAGCTATTTCTTGTGACAAAAAGGAAAATATTTTCTACTGCTATTTTGAACAAATAGTATACTTTAATGGGATATATAAAAGTCATTGGATTGTTCCCTTTTGAAAGATCTTTTGGTTATTAATACTTGGGGAAAACCTAATCTTTCAGTCTCTGTAATCTAACCTGAGACAGGTAATGGATGTCAGGTAGCTGAAGTGCAGGCACAGAGCCTAGGTCGGAACTAAGCAGCCACTGTAAGTTTTGTCTTACAACTTACATCAATTATATGGTGGTAGATGTACTATGAAATAATGAGCTAAAGCAAAGGTGGAAACTGAGGAACATCAAACTTCACCATGGTTAAGTTTAGAAATGGGGTGGTTCATCTTCATTCATCAGTTACCTGGTGGAAATGGAGACCTGGTATTTTTGGTACCAAGTCAGAATATGGACCTTATTATTGTCCTTCACAAAGGTCTCAGTATCACTAAATATCTTGACTAACCTTGTATTTTCTGAAGTAAATTTAATGCTTTTTCCTCTAGTTCTTCAAGAGTTACAGTATCAAGGGAAATATTCTCCAATAACTGGGAACGCTGATCTTCTAAATGAGGAACTACATGAGTTACCACAGTAGATAAGAGTTGATCTTGCAAACCTTGGAATGTTACCGTGAAGTTGACCAGAGTAACAAAGTTAGAAACTGATGGATGAAAATGGGGGTTGTCTATGGCTGTAGACAAATACAACCTAAACATGAGAAAGGCATCAGTTATTCAGAGAACATACAGATGAAAAAAAAAATGAAACCAGTTCATATAAGAATGCAAAAAATACTTATCCTGGAAGTAAACAAGATTAATTTTTAGTGTTACTCAACTTTGTACACAAAGCAGGCTCTCAATTTACACTATGTGAATACATTTACTATTTAAGACTTAAAAAATACAACCATAAATTATGTCCACATTATATTTGGTTTACGAATAAGGACAGAGTAAAGAAAAATGCCAAATAGTAGAAGTTTTGACTTGCCACTTAGTTCATTGTAAAGACTGTAGTTTTTATCCTGAGTGAGTGGGAAGCCAATGGAGGACTTGAGGAGAGGAGTGACGTGATCTTTTCAAACTGGATCTCTCTAGGGGTATCACGAGAGTAGCCTGGGTAGAGGGGGAGGGGAGCCAGGCACACAGGATGGCATAAGAGACATTGGAGCCTCACAAGGAAGGAGGGTGGGAGGTGGTGAGGGAGGAAAAATTACCTATGGGGTACAATGTATACTACTCAGGTGATGGGTACACCAAAAGCCCAGACTCCACCACTATACAATATATACTTGTAACAGAATTCAACTTGTACCTCCTAAATCTATTAAAATTAAAAAGAGGAAGAAAAAAAGGATGTATAGTGCACAATTTAAAAATAATAATAAAATGTCACTATCTCTTTATTGTAAATTCCATATAGCCAGTTGATTCTCATAGAACACTTCCATTGATTTCTGCCAAACTCCTATATCCATAGCCAGCCTATGGTTTGACAATAGAAATTGTATTCCAATCCACTCACTTTTTTTCCCAATAAACTTATTGTCACTAACAACAACAAAAGGAGTCAGCATTACTCGGTCAGAAGTCACCCTGTTAGAATTCCTGTGAAGAAGTTAAATGCACTAGGCTAGGGATTGTTAGTCTTCTAATTTCCCTTGCTGATAACTTGCTATCCTATTGGCAATCCTTTGATTATGAATTGACTTCCCTGTTGCTTTGCCTACAAGGAGAGAATGCACATTAACAACTCAAATATCTTATTTCCTCAGGAATCATATTTTTGTGGTAATCAAATTTGACCGTATGAGGGCTGTCTGGAAAGTATCCAGCCAAATAGAGACATTTATTGTATTAACAATGACTGAATAGTTTCCAGACAGCCCTGTATACTACACTGCTTTGTGAAATTGGCTAGTAGGAGCTGGTTTCCTGGAGTCCCATTACTGCTGGGAACATGGATACCATGTTTTTAGCTCCCTAGGCAAAATCTTTTTGCTCTAGATATTAATTACGGATTTTTTTTAAAGCAGTAGGAAATTTTCTTGCCCAAGTAAAATGTTAGGTGAACAGATCAAATAGGGCCAGGTTTCCTGCTCGTTGCCCTCCTTGCGTAGCTTATGAGAAATCTTTATGGAATCCACAGGTTTCAACATGCACAGTTTAAAAAGTGTTGATTTGGAGTGAATTGATAAGTAAACATCTGTCCTCTATTCTGTATACTGATGACTGTGTCAACACAAAACTGAAAAGAATATTCCAAATAATGTCTTACTTTTTCCTCCAGGTAGAAGCTTATCAGGACTGAAATACAAGGCCTTGAATATTATCTTTAAAAAATAAACATTTGATTCAGTTTAACTATAAGAGACATTACCTAAATTTGGGATTGTATTCAATCTCAGAATCATCAACTTTTATGAAATATTGTCCTCGTTTCTGATAGATATCCTTCTTTAAAATTGCCTTTAAACCAGAGGCTAATGTTTCCTGGAGATTCTGAAAAACCCAATAGACAAAAATAAGAAAAATCACCTTAAAATGAATTGGTTGAAAAGACATGGCATTTAAAAAAGAGCTTCTCTTACAGACAGATCTAACGGAATTGAACATTGAAACCTCACTGTATGTACATATATAAGTATGTATGTTTCATTATCTTTTTCCTGACAGTTACCTGTCACTTAAAACTTGTAGTTTTTATACTCAGTGCATACAATACAGGTGTCAGCTGTATAGAAATATAGAAACAAGGGATTAAGCCATATTGCCCAAATACCTGCAAGAGGACACTACCTCCTGTTTTCATAGCATTTTCAATTTTTTTGGTGTAATTGCTATCCTCAATGGAGAGCTCCTGCAGCCTGGATCCTTCCGTCTGATGGATCCAGTTGTGTGCTTGCTTATGTGGGTCAATCAGCAGTGGCCACTGCTGGCAATTCTTGATCAAGATGGCATTCTCTGTTGAATGCTGACCAAGAGGTAGCCCTTGATTATGCCATTGGCTGATCTGGAATGAAATCATTAGGACTTTAACTATTTCATAAACTTCTTCACATCGTTGGTATCTTACAGGGTACTAAATAATCCTACAGGATCATGGCCTTTAGAAATTCAAATAATCTTTAAAAGGACTAAAGAAGTGACCAATTAAAGCAACTTGGATATGAAATTCTTGGTGAGTAATTATTCACTAAATTCCAGTTTTCTATTCATCAGTAAGGATATTTGTAATGCCCATCACAACAAAGACACTGTGAGAGACAAAAGAAATGTAAGATAGAGCACCTGTTTCCAAGACTATCAGACTCTAATGCATCCATGAAACGTGTAACAATATAGGATTATACAAACATAATAATAGCTACTCTATTTTGTGCCTACCACCTGCCAAGCGCACATATTCATTATCTAGTGAAATTACTAAAACGACCCTCATTTCTCAGGTGGGAGAACTGAGGCTAAAAGAGTTAAGTACTTGCCTATAGTCATGCTGTCAGCATGACTACGAGCAAGAGCTATGATTTGACTAAGAAGCTGACTCCAAGCCTGATAAGCATCTCACTCTTTACATGGCCTCTCTTTTCCTGCCACTCCTATTTCGTGGCAGTATCAGCAGGTTGGGAGAAAAAAGTCAAGAAGGCCCGTGAAGGTAAGAGAAGGAATAGGATACCAGGAAACTTTCCAGGAAAAGGAAGCAAGGGGTTCTTTGGGAGAAGCCAAAGATACTTTTCAGTTTTGGAACAGAATATAAAGGATTTTTTGTTTAAGCCTATGCATGCTTTCAAATTCAACATAAAAGGAAATAGGAAAGACGATGAAGAATCCTACAAAGTACAAGTATTCCTGTTGGTTGGAGTGTAGACTCCATTTGAACACAGGCAAAGAAGACAGGAATAAATGTTGGTGTGGTGAGAGAAATACACCCCGAGCCCAATAGCAAAGTAGAGTTTCTATTTTCAAAAACAAATCATTCTCCTGACTTTTATGCTTTTCTTTATTTTACTTATGTATGTATTCCTAAACATGATAGTTTAGTTTTGCCTATTTTTGAACTGTAGATAAGTGAAATCTTATATCTTTTTTTTGTGTCTGGCTTCATCCATGTTGCTGCGTAGCTATATTTATTCATTCTCATTGCTGTAGAGTTATCAAAAGAATTTGGGGAAAAGATCCAAGACCCAAATTATACACACACCCCAAATCCAAATCAACAATAACAGCCACTTAAGTGGATAATAGAAATATGTTATTACCTCATATTTTTGTGCCATGACTTTAATTAAAGAAAAGTTGGAAGACAAAGAAATGCCATATTCAATGCAAAAATTCTCCCATTTATTCACAATCAACTGGCGAAATTCTGGTGTTAAAACTCCACTGTAGACAATGCATGCTGCTGAAAGAAGTATGTCACCCAAAATTCCTCCCAATTTGGTATCTATTTGATTCATTATTTCTTGCCATTGAGTCTAAATGTTAAAATAAAAATGAGTTATTTGACATAAAATATACTATTATGAGATATTTTAAAAATGAATGGTCGCCAAGTTGGACCCACCATTGCTATTACTATTACTGTTCTCAAGCTGTAGCTATATAAAAATTAATAATGCATAATATTTAAAAATGAGCTGTTTTCTCAGAGGAACACCAGTCTTGTTCTTGGGTTTGTCAGTAGTTTCATATTTGCTAAGACAAATAGCCATTTTAAATCCTTTGTGTACTAAAGCAAAATAATTTTAAAAATATAAATTCATTGTATTATTAACAGTGTTCAATAATAATAGCAACAATATTTACTGAATCTTTACCTATCTGCCATACAAATCTCATTTGACACTTTCAATATCCTCTTAAGTAAACCCTATTGACTTCATTTTATTAATAAGATCAAGAAGGTGAAGTTTAGAGAAGTTAAAAAACTTGCTCAAGATCACAAAGCTTCTTAAGGGTGTATCTGGGATCTGAACTCATATTCTCTGGCTGTACAGACTCTCTCTTCAATCATGTATATGCTTGACTGGTCAATAAATAAAGCATATTGAGCAAGAACCCTCTCTTCTGGAAGCTTAAAATCTGGGATAATGTGGATGTTCCACTGTGTGTTCTCAATATACACACTTGGCTCTCAGAGACACCAATTAACTTTTGAGGGCTATAATCTCCCTTTGATTGGTCTGATCTCATGACCTCCTTCTCACTGCTTTTCTAAGACATGTATTTATTTAGGAAATTAAGCTAAATTAAAATTATCTTGAGAATTTTGTAACATCCCTTGAGATAGCTGCAATGTAACTAAATCAAGGTCCTAGTCAGCTTAAGTAGGTATTCAAGTACAGAGAAGGCAGATGCATTAGAGGAGAAATAAAAAGATGAGGTAAAAAGTCAGGAGATTGGCAGAACAAAATAAAATTTTCCTTTTCCTTCCTAATGACACCTCCTCCCTTTCAGCCCCACTCATATTTTATACATTCAGCCTAGATTGTTCCAGTGCTAGAAAAGGAAAACTAATGGTATACTCATTGAAAGGTTACTTTGGGCCTCATCAGACAAAAGTCCTAGGAACAAGAGAAAATAACTTCGGATCACTGTAGTCTATTACTTCTGTTTTAAGACTACTTGAACAGGATTTCTTTATTTTATCTTCATAGGACTGTCTACTGATTTCAATAATAAATTGGCTAGTAAGATAGTTTTATTAATAGAAGATATATGATACAGCCTGCAGTAAAAATAACATCTTGGGGTTTGTCGAACCCCATAGAAATTGATGAAGCAGATATAAAACCAAGGGAAGTCATGCCTTCTCATCTTCCAGGACAGTTAGTAAGACTGATGCATACTGCAAACGCCTGCTGGCCATTTTTCTCCGTTTTGCTAAGAGTTGTTTTTCAGCAACGGTATCTTTGTAGGCTGCCTGCAGAAACAGCAAATGCTCTTCAACCTGAAAGACAATTAATTTGTTATTGAGAAAAAAATCTTATGCTCATCTTGCTTCATGTTCTATAAATGACAGGTAAACTCTGAAGTGTAGTGTGTAACCACTTCATTTTCACATACTAGAACATCTTCCTGGAACAAATGTACACTGTAAAAATGAAATGATGCCTTGATATTGAAGTTTATATTTTTTAAAATGGCTTCTTCCTTCCTCAATAGGCTTTTATAATTTCCCTTGTGATTTCTTCTTTGATGCATTGGTTGTTTAAGAATATGTAATTTTCCATTTTTTTCTGTCATTGATTTTAAACTTGATTCTATTGTGGTAAGAGAAGATATTTTGTATGAAATCTGTTGAAATATTTTGTGTCCTAACATATGGTCTATCATGGAGAATGTTTCATGTGCCCTTGAGAAGAATGTGTATGATGTTGTCGTAGGTGGAGCATTCTGTGTATGTCTGTTAGGTCTAGCTGGTTTACCGTGTTGTTCAAGTTCTCTATTTCCTTGTCTTCTCTCTGGTTGTTCTATCTGTGATATCTTTTTAAATCCATGATTTTTGGCTTGTTTAAGCTTTCAAGCTTTTTTTTTTTTTTGATTGACATTTAGTGACTAAAAATGTCCTGGAAAACAAGGCATATTATCCAGTTTCTAAATTTATATTCATAAAGTTTCTAGTAATTGTTGCAAAAAAGAAACAGATACTTTCATTAAATTAAAAATTATTATTTCTTGAATGCCCTGTTTTTCCAAATTGTATAATGTTTAATTTTTTTCTTAAAATTCTGAAGGAAACTTTTCCTTTTGTGGGTCTGTTCCATTCATTATCTTTTATGTGAGACAGAAATAAGGCTGATATTCAGTGTTATATACTATGTTGGCATAATAATTGTTAAAATGTTGACATATTTCTGCAGTGGTTGCTAAATGGTCCTGTCCCATGCCCCAAGGATCACCTCTGTACCCACACACTGCCCACCCCAGCCCCATACCTTCTCTTCAAACTCAGCCAGAGGCCTCTAAGACTCTGCTCCTACCCCATGACAAGTGTCCATTCTGATTGTTTGGTGCCTGTGCCATGCTGGTTGCTAAATATTTTGAATAAAAATATATCACTTCTGTATAGAAATATTTTATAGTATAATAGTTAGGTAGGTGGGGTTTAGAGTTAGACAGACCTGGGTTAGAATGTGGGCACCATTCACTTAGTAGCTTGAGATCTTGAACAAATTTATTAAGTCTTTCAAATTTATTTTCCCCAATTTTAGGCATCTACTTCTGAATGTTGTTTTGAGGATTAAATGACAAAATGTATATAAAACACTAGCATAGTGCTTATAACATAGTAAGTGGTCAATAAATGTTAGCTATTATGAGAGCCTATCAAAATAAAACTATATAGACTATAAGCTACAATAAAGCATTAACAACAAAATGACATATCAAAATAAAGTAAATTCAGTTCAAATTTGTTTATTTCCTTAAAAAATCTCCAATAATTTTTATATATTTGAGTTTGCAAGAAAAGGCTGCTGGACCAGGCAGGTAACATAAATTACTGAAGTGGGGCCGATTATAGCCAAATGAGGATGTTAGTCCAGGGCTGCCAGATCTTCTGAGTTTTCAAAAGAAGATAGAAATTCAGATTTTAAATGAAATCCCGAGATTTTTAAATGTTGATAACTACATCAAAACATGGGGGCGAGGGGTGGGGAGACTGTATGGGCCAAAAGATATCAACGGATTGAATTTGCCTGCTAGTGTGCCATCTCTGAAGTAAATTACTTTATCCACTCTCAAAATGTATGTGAGCTAAATAGGTGATAGGGATACCAATTTTAATTCTAGGTCTCTTAATGATAATGATACTCTTAATTTAAAATCAAGATATTTAAGAAATAATCATTCCTTTACAAAGCAACAGAGTAATTGATATAAACAAGTTAAGTACAATTTTTTAAGAACACAGACTGATACTGTTTAAGTCTTTGGTAGAATGACGTTCTAAAGATCTCCTGGGGGAAATTTGGCAAAATGGTAAATTAAAATATTATTAAAATAATAATAATTAACATCATTGAATGTTTTATTATGTGGCAAACACTAAGAACTTTACATATAGCATCTATAATATTTACTTAAGCCTCACAATTAATCTCTTCACTACCTATATTAATATCCCCATTTTATCTTTAACTGATAAGCTCTACTGATATAATGACTTTTTCCTGATGTTTTTGTCTAGTTTATAAAGGTACTGAGAATTTAACAAGTAAAAAACTCTTCTTACCAGCTGTAAGCCTCTTTGTTTTTCGGCCAATTTTTGTCGTGCAATTTTAAGGACATTTTGAGCTTCAGTTACTTGGATTTGTTTAGGTCCCACCAGCTTAAAGAGAATGTCAGAACATTAAACAGTCAAAAAAAAAATCAGACTTGCTGTTAAAAATGTCATTTATATTTGAAAGACATTTATAGGGGGGGGGTGGAGCAAAATGGCCGAATAGAAATCTCCAGCGATCGTCCCTCTGCACAAACAACAAATTCAGCAACTGTCCATGTAAGCAAGCATGTTCAGAAGAACCAAAAATCAGGTAAGTGATCATGCTACCTGGTTTTAATATTATATCAAGGAAAAAAGCACTGAAGAGGCCAGAAAAGATAATCTTGCATTGCCTACGCCACCCTCCCCCATCCCCTGGCAGTGCTGTGCCTGCACGTTGAGTGGAGACAGAATCTGTGTGCCTAGGGCTAAGAGAAGTGACTGTGGGACTTTGCATTGAAACTCAGGGCCACCCTGGCACAGGGGAACACAGCACGGTGCAGAATTCTGCCAGTGCCCATGGAGGGAGCATTTAGACCATGGCCAGAGGCCTGGCCAGAGGGAAATTCTCCACCTCAAAACCTGAATTCTGGCTAGTCCCACCACCAGCTAAGAAAAAGTGGCCTGGGGCCTGGACTAAATTCTTAGGGCAATTGGGCCACAAAGGCTGCAATCCTTGGGTGATTCCTATGGCAGTGCTGGCTTGGAGCCAGTGGACTTGGGGTGCATGTAACCCAATGAGACATCAGCAGGGACAGCCAAGGCAGTGCCTATGTCACCACTCCCCCAACTACAGGCAGCACAGCTCAGGAGAGTCTTCTTCCACTTCAGGAAAGGAAAGGGAAGAGCTCAGAGAACTTTTTTTTGCAGCTTGGGTACCAGCTCAGCCACAGTAAAATAAGGTAACAAGCAGACTCCCGAGGCCCCTAACACCAGGCCTTAGTTCCTGGATGGCATCTCTGGATCTACCCTGGGCCAGAAGGAAACAAACCGCCCTGAAGGGAAGGAGTCAGTCCTGGCAGGATTCACCACCTGCTGACTAAAGAACCCTTGGGCTTTGCACAAACAGCAGAGGTGGGCAGGAAACAGTCACACCACAGGCTTTGGGTGAGACTGAGCTGGCTGCAGGTATGACCTAGTGCTGGGGGCCACGAGGCAGTGCTCACATCACTCCTCCCCCAACTCCAGCAGCCCAGCACAGAGAGTGAGGGACGAGAGTGAGAGGTTTTACCTGGTAATCCAGAGAATGCTCGTGTATCTTACCCAAGTCCACCAAGGCAGTACCACCAGCAGTCCACAAGAGTCACAGCATTACTGGGTTTGGGGCACCCCTAGAGCTGACATGGCTGTAGTCACCAAAGACTTACATCACAACACTTCATTCCCTTTGAATATTGGGAAAGCTTTCTCAAGAAGGATGGGTTCAAACAAGCCCAGACGGCAAAGATTAAAATAAATACCTAACTCTTCAATGCTCAGACATTGACAAACATCCATAAGCATCAAGAACATCCAGCAGAACATGACCTCTCCACATGAACTAAATAAAGTATCAATGACCAATCCTGGAGTGATGGAGGTATGTGACATTTCAGGTAAAGAATTCAAAACAGCTATCCTAAAGAAGCTCAATGAACTTCAATACAATAGGAATTCAGAAGCCTAATAGAAATTTAACAAAGAGCTTGAAATAATAAAAAAAAATCCAAGCAGAAATTAGCAAGCATAAGAATTCAACTGACAAAGTGAGAAAAGCATCAGAGTCTCTTAACAGCAGAATTGACCAAGCAGAAGAAAGAATTAGTGAGCCTGAAGACAGGCTATTTGAAAATACACTGTCAGGCCGGGCACGGTGGCTCACACTTGTAATCCTAGCACTCTGGGAGGCCGAGGCGGGTGGATCGTTTGAGCTCAGGAGTTCAAAACCAGCCTGAGCAAGAGCGAGACCCCGTCTCTACTAA